CGGGGTATTCAATGCCCTGGAACCTTCGCTTTTGACGTTGGCACCATTTGGTGCCACTGGGAGCCACTTTAGCGCCACCACTTTTCTCATCGATTCGGTATAAACTTGCATAATACTGGGGTTACTGGGCGTCCTGATCACGAAAACGCATTTGTTCTTGGCGCTGGTGCCCTTTAGCCCTCTGCTAAGGCTAACATTGGAAGGAGGGGTGATCTACTTCAGGGGAGGCTCAGCGTGGCAGAGCGCAGATGACTTGAAGAATCATGCAAGCGCCGACGCCATGAACGATTATCATAATCGTGATCAGGATGTCAAATGACCCCGTATATAAGTTTTCATCGATTTTGGTGATTGAGGGTGTTTTGGCGCCAGGCGCATGTGATGGTGGCGCCAGGCGCTTTCGGGCCGGGTGGATCATATCCATCACAGGAGGTCAGTTGACCCTGTGCTGTGGACGGGTCCAGAGCGAATTTGGTGATTAAAAGTGCTTTGGCGCTTTTCTGAAACCGCCTGGCCCCGCGCCGCAAGCGTCGGCGCCAGGCGGTTTAAGGCCAAGCGTATTTGATATTCGTGTACAAGAGATCGAGCTATCTCTGGACACCAAATTTTAGCTAAATCTGCCTTGGAAAAAGTAGGTTAAAAAGTAGCCTGATTTCGGAAGACTGGAGTAGTAGTTGGAAAGTGCTCATTTCTGTCACGCGTGATCACCTTAATTTTGTTTCTTTTTATGAAGCAAATTCAGATATTTTCAGTCTGGCAAGAGATGCGGTCTCTGTTCGAGTCAAATGCGTCAACCAACAAGACAATTGCTCAACTATGTGAACTGGTCAAAACGGAAACCATTTCCCATGAAGGCAATGTTAGTGCTGTGGCAATTTTTGTAATACCTACCATTTTCTTCTTCCAATACCATGTAATCCTTTGTCTCTTCTACAGGATGACCCTGCTTGGGCTGAAAATGTCGTGAAAACGTTAGCGAAACGACTAAAGAAGGCGAAATACCTAGACGAATTGGCCAAAGCTATAGTCAGTGAACATCGGCATTCGAACTGTTGCGCCATACCAAAGTACGTTTCCTGAAAAGGTTGACTTCACCTTCGGATCATAATCGATTTGCAACTGTTTCAGTGAAGTCGACAAAAAGAAGTCCATGGTAAAGGATCGATCTCACCTCTTGTATATTAAAATGTGGAGATTTCCGTGGTTGAAGTCAGTGTTACTTTTTATAAAGAACACCTTTTATCGTAAGGCTGCGTACATCTTCGCGATGAGGGAGCGACTCAGCGTTTTGACACAACAGGCACTCTCCCAAAGCGTCAAATCGCCGATTCTCCACTACCGTTGCAACAATATGTAACTTTCGCTTCTATTACCACTTTGTAGGTCTTTTCGCGAGCTAAAAGCAGTCGACAACTGTCGTTATCCGTACTCCAAGAAAGCGGATCTAGTCTGCATCAATCCTTACCATTACGAACCGATACATGCAAAAGCACCCCGTGGGTCTTATTTTCCTTAATAATCTTAATATTTTTGATAATGTAGTGGTATTTGTAGTGGCGTTTTGTTGTTAAATTTGTTCAAATTCCATGTCGATATTTTCAGCTCTGCCACCAGTTGTTGTTAACAAAAGGGCAGGCTACTACTCAGCGGCACCAGCTACAATGACCACGCTCAACAATCACGGATTTTCATCACAGTTCTATGAGGACGTTAGTTTACAGCTAACCTACCTTGCCGTAAACTGGATTCATACTTCGTAAGTGGTCGCACGAACCGCTCAAAGCGTGCGTTTGGCGGAATTCGAGCTGCCAGTCGCGAAGTATGAACGCTTGAAAGTTTTTTTAGTCCTAACAGTTTCCCTTATTTCATTGCTCACTTGGGATCATTTCCCTGTTTGTACTTACAATGTATAAATCTAGTAGAATGCTGTCAGTTTCAGCGTGCTCCTAATGCCTCGATTAATGTGGATGAAATGCGTGCACATTACCTATCTGAGGAGAATTCCCCGACAAGTAGCTACACTGGGTCCCCTTCGTCAACCTCTCCGCTCCCTAGGTTTGCTGTACCATCATCATCAGTTTCGGCATCAAACTTTGGATCAACTGACTCGTCTCCGCCTATGTCATTTGGACAGCAACTTCCATCATCTCCAACAAAGGGGTTATTGCATCATTAGCAGAGGGACTTGCAAGTTCTAAACCGAATTTTTTGCAGATTACCGCAGGCACAATCACCGTTGAGTCCAAATTCGTATTTGAGCGAAGACCGTGATGAACACGAAATGATGGATACTAGTGATGACCGTAATCATACATTCACCTCCAATTTCCCACGTCATTCTGGAGCCGATTGTAAGAATCATTTATCCTCAAATGTGGTTGTTCTGC